GTGTTGTTGTTCTTGTTGTGACGGTTGCTTTTCTTCCTAGGTCCTATTGCTTTGTAACCTCGTCTGTTCCAATTGCATCTGTTTCAGCTACTACCTGTGCTCACTTTGTTTAAAGTCATGTAGAAAGGCATGGAAACGACATGTGTGAAGCACAGCGATCCACGACGTCCGTGATTGGTCCCGATCCTCTTGGACATCCTCTCGAGAGTTTCCCGGCCTAGTGAGGCAGGGCAAGTACTGAGCTATATGGAGTTAACCGAAAGTCTGGGACCTGTCCACAAGAAGGTTTTCTTACTTCATTAAACTTTAAGCATCATCCATGACGCTGTGTCTTTGGTGTAGACCTGGATGAACGACTTTGTAGTGTACAGATATGTTATGGAAATGCTATTTCCATGTAAACACTCCATATCAGATTTGAATTCTTTTTTGGCATGTGCTTCCTGATGTAGCGGTTCGAATTTTGACTTGAACGATTCACACCCCCGAATCATAGCTCAAATCATATTCCTCAAAAGGTAGGTGTAAGAACTAGGTGTTAAGATGAATCTTCTGGTTGATCTTAATGCCCTGTAGATGTCCATGAACCAATGGTTACAACCTTGTGATCCACCGCACCACCTATTCGATCTTTCCAGCCGGACTACGGTAAAAAGAAGTACACAGTACACATCCATTTCATTCTCTCGGACATCAACTTCGTCTGCTCGTTGCGTGAGGAACTGGTCATGGTGGCCTCAAGGTAAAGATGCAGCTGGGCCATATCTTTTATAGAGTCAATCGCAAACACACCTGTGCAAAAACACACACATATTTGCTGAGACAGTGACAATTTTTCGGTGAGCACATGTCCAAGTTCTATGTCTCGGCAATAGCAGTGACGGTGTTGTCTTGTTGTTGAGACCTACGTGAACACCAAAGGACACAGGTTGGCCGGCGGAACGTTCTTGGACCAGAAGTTGGCAAGACTGGCATTGGCAAAAAGCCACTGGTACATGATTAGGGAAACATCGTTGATTGGGCGAGTTTTCGTCCCTCAGACTAATGAATCACAGGGCTTCGACTGCTTCTGCAAAGGGGTTTGCCTATGGCGCAAACTTATTTTGTAATCAAATGTATAAAAGCAATACCTGATGTGACTCTAATGCGAACCGGTCACAAGAACGATACTTTCAAACTATTATACCTTTTAGTGACGTTAGAATGTGCGTGTTCATTTATCATTAGACAGTTAAAAGGAGTTGGAAAGGAACCGGTCAAAACCAATATTCCAAATACAAACGATAATGCAAGTGGAAACGAAGACCACATCATATCATTCATCATTATGTCGAATTTAATCCAATGATTTTTTGTTGCGGGGACGAAGGATCGTTCACGAAGTCCTGCCCCGCAGCCCGGCAAAAGACGTGTGATCGTATCACACTTCCAACTCTCTTCTGAACGTATCCGAAGAGAATTGGAGAAGTACGGCTACCTGTCTGCGTTTCACCGTCTCAGTGGAGAGTTTTGGGGCGCCTGTTAAAGATAGAAAACCTTCTCATGTGGCTAAAGATGGTTTTTCTCTGCGTACATATCCGACCTCAGAATGCAATGCAATGCGTTGTCGAAGTCGCAAATTGCACTATTGCCCAGCGGCGCTACAAGCAACGAGCCCCTCCACGCGGAGATCAACTCCTGGACCCGAGTCAATCGCGAATTTCACAGAAGCACCCTGCGCCTGAAATTGAACATCATGTGTTTTGGAAAACAGCTGGGCCACCACATCGCGACCTTCTATCCCCGTGCAAGGCAAACACCAGATGGTCTCTGCCTGAAAGCGATGACCTCGAGCCACCAACCTACTGGTGACGAACCCCAACCTAATAACAGCAGCGGCAGACAAAACGCCAGACAAGCAGGGAGACAAGAAGGAAGGAAGGAAGGAAGCAAGCAAGGAAGGAGGAGAGGAAGGAAAGAAAGAAAGAAAGAAAGAAAGGAGATCAACTCCTGGACCCGAGTCAATCGCGCATTTCACAGAAGCACCCTGCACCTGAAATTGAACATCATGTGTTTTGGAGAACAGCTAGGCCACCGCATCGCGACCTTCTATCCCCATGCAAGGCAAACACCAGATGGTCTCTGCCTGAAAGTGATGATCTCTAGCCACCAACCTACTTGTGACGAACCCCAGCCTTGTATCAGCAGCGGCAGACAAAACGCCGATCACAGCAGACAAGCGGGGAGACAAGAAGGAAGGAAGGAAGCAAGGAAGGAAGAGAAGAAGGAAATATAGAAAGAAAGGAGATCAACTCCTGGACCCGAGTCAATCGCGAATTTCAAAGAAGCACCCTGCACCTGAAATTGAACATCATGTGTTTTGGAAAACAGCTGGGCCACCGCATCGCGACCTTCTATCCCCATACAAGGCAAACACCAGATGGTCTCTGCCTGAAAGCGATGACTTCTAGCCACTAACCTACTGGTGACGAACCCCAACCGAATAACACTGGCGTGTAAACTACTAGTGATTTCCTCTAACCCTATCTCATGCTTCTTTTGCTTGGGTCTTTCGTTCTATCTGAAGCAACATGACTTTCGACTTGTTGGTTGCGAAGTTTTTTTTTGCGCGGAAGGTGAAATCGTATCGTGGGCAGACCGAGGGAGCTTCGCAAGAGCAAGCTTCAGAAAGCATCTTGACGCTGCCCAGGCTATCGAGGAATTTCAGCATGGCTTAGTACAATTCGCCTAAGCGAAAGCGGCCCAAAACAGAGCGCGTGCCCAGGTGAGAACCCTCCATGTGTTTCGCTTGAAGTCCGCCGTGTACGGTGCTCGCTCTCAAAGTCGTGAAGAGTTTGGAAACGAAGTGCCGGCTGCGGGAGCCAACAGCTGTCAGGCTAATGAGAAAAACTGTACACGTCAGGGACTCAGAGGAACTCTTAGCATTTTGGCCTGAAGGCTCTTCCTTAGCAGTTTGCGTGTCAAAGACAACTCTAGTTCGCTGGAAGGCCGCCGTGTACAGAGCTCGCTCTCAAAGTCGTGAAGAGATTGCAAACGAAATGTCAGCGGTATAGAGCCAATAGCTGTCAGATCAATGATTAAAAACTCTACACTTCAGTGACTAAGAGGAACTCTTAGCACGTTGGCCTGAAGGCTCTTCCTTCCACAATTTGCGTGTCAAAGACACCTCAGTTCGCTGGAAGGCCGCCGTGTACAGCGCTCGCTCTTAAAGTCGGGAAGAGTTTGCAAACGAAACGTCAGCGTTATAGAGCCAATAGCTGTCAGATCCATGATTAAAAAACTCTACACTTCAGTGACTAAGAGGAACTCTTAGCACGTTGACCTCGAAGGCTCTTCCTTCCATAATTTGCGTGTCAAAGACATCTCCGTTCGCTTGAAGTTTGCCGTGTACAGCGCTCGCTCTTAAAGTCGTGAAGAGTTTGCAAACGAAACGTCAGCGGCATGGCGCCAATAGCTGTCAGATCAATGATTAAAAAACTCTACACTTCAGTGACTAAGAGGAACTCTTAGCACCTTGGCCTTGAAGGCTTGTAGCGAATCCTGTGCGATGGGCCGTTTGAATAAAGATCTGTAGCCGTCAGGTCGGTGACTAAGAGAAACTGTCTTGGCACTTTGGCCTTCAGTGGGTTGACATTGTCTCAAATTGGCGGAAGGGAGATCGGTATATTATACGTAAAGGTCCCCCCCACACATATATATATATACAGTATCAATATATAATATATATATATATACAGTATCAATATATATATATACACGCAAAAATACACAATGTGCATGATCAATGCAAAACTTAGAGATGAACGCAGCATGAAGTGGATGAAAAGTACATAGACAAGTTTCTGTAATCACTTTATTTTTGGACTCTTACAAATTCTTTATCACTCTATTTTTGGACCTTCTTGTAGATGGTTTGCATGCATTGCTGGATATATTTTTTCGATCCCCTTGAAGTTGTACATTTTGGAGGGGGGCCAAATTGTACTACTTTGCAAGCACGTTGTGCAATAAACTACACGTTTGCAGCCATCTGACGCCTATGCTACTGTAAACAACCATACAATTCCAACCAGCTGATGCAATCGTGAAAGATTTATAGTACGGCATAGACTGTTGAGAGGAGTCGTTTGTTTGCCTTTCAAGGACCTAGTGATGCAAATTGCACGACTATGAGAAATAGAGTCAGACATAGATGATATGTGAAAACCATGTGTTTTCTATGTCTTCTCCCATTCCCACTCGTCTCCCAGACGCACCTCATGATGCAGGATATGCATTTCCGTTCCCAAACGAACTTCCCCGTTGGATAAAGGCACTGGTCACCGTTTAGCGCTTCAGCACCTTTGGTGCGGGCGGATTTCTATTGGGGACAGAAGCAAGCTTTTCGGCCATAGAAACTTGAAATGTGACTTCTGAACTTCAGCTGCAACTGATGCAGCCTGGCGCCACATCTACTTTTTGACGAAGGTAATGGTTGGGTCATAAAACCATTTTCCCAGCGTTCATGGCACCTCATGTCATCCTCCGACCGCGACCCAGTTCCGAACATAGCAACTGACTGGAAGGTTTTGACGATGATGTTTCTTTACTGTTGACCGCAGGTGACGGGAACCAACAGAGGAGTGACACGTTCGTGACGTGTTTGTCGTCAGAGCGGCGTGGAGGCTATTCATTGAGAGAGTTTTGGTTGGCCAAAAATCCCGTTGCGACCACCACCGTTTGCTCAACGATTGGAATGATTCGAACCAAGTTGGGTTGAACCGGGTCCTTGTGTTCTGAACTTCCAAAGAGAGCTGTTCCTAAGCACGTTTTTTTTCTTTCACGCGTGTCTTGGTAGGTGGCGCTACTTGCACCACATTTTGGAGGCCCTAGTCTATAGTCATGCAAATCTCCTCAAAACACAGACCTGGAAAACACATCACTTCATCTCCTCCTCCCCCAACAAAAACTCCTTGGATGCCCCCAACCGCCGCTGGCAGCGGCTCGTGCGCGGATCGCAGGCGCTGGCAGCGGCTCGTGCGCGGCGGTCCAGGCACCGAGGGGACGACCCCGTCGGTGGGGTCGGTGGAGTTGCGCGGTGGATGAGCTCGGGGTCTTAGAGCCTTGGAGGGACCAGGTCGGACTGACCCTTGAGATGAACCTTGGAAGGTCGGAAGATGGAGTGAAGTGAAGTGGAAGAACTGACGAAGTGAGAACCGCCAGGTCGGACGGTCCGCTGTTTGGCTCAATTGAATTCAATTGACACAAAATAGGGAAGCTAGCAAAAGGTGACTAACACTAGGGCAGGGCTACTCTCGAATAGGTTCCAGATCGAACACTTACGTGCGTAAAGAGGCGTTTGATGGATGGAGCCAAGAAAACCCTTGCTCGGCTTGAAATGCAATTTTGGAGTGATCACCAAGTTTGCAAGAAACACAACAGAGTCCGGTTTCCCGGCCTACAAAAGACTTTGTCAGCATGCTGTCCATTGAGTAAAACCCCCCATCAAACCATGGTTGGAGTTGTAATGCTCCTTGCAATGTGGCGGTTGGAAGGTCCTGAATTCTGCAGCCGCCGGCGGGGTCCATAAGCTTGATGGGGGCAGATGGTAGAGGATTTCTTTCATCAACAGTAGGCACAAACTATCCTCTGCATCTTCCGACTGTCCCGCGATGGTCGATCTAGTTCGGATTCGGCTGGAGTCGCTCGCCCGACTGGTGCTTCGCCAGAAGCTCTCGCTGCCCCAGCTTTTCTGGGTGCCTGCGCACCTGGACATGTGCACGCTGGCTTGTGCTGCATCACTTGTCATCACGGATGATTTGGTGGAAGAACAACATCTTCCAGAGACTGCAGGGATGACCAGGGCAATGTTTGAGACTGGATGGGCTCTTCATGGGGGCCACCTTCCACTGCACCGTCTCAAAATGCCTGGCTCCTTGAGCCGCTTCGTGTTCCGCTTTGGGTCGAAAAAAAGGTTCTTCGATTCATCCAAAAAAGCCCGCGCAGGGCATCTTGTAGCCCATCCCCAGGTCTTTGCCGATCTCAAGGTGGCATTCTTTTGAGCTTCAGATGCGAGACATCTCCAGGAATTTTGTGAACTATAGAAGCTACTGCCCCAGGGTGATCCAGAGTTTCTTGGAGCAAGGTGGATGACCTCTTTCGCGGCTTCAAAGTTCAGCACCAGGTCTGGTCTGTGAGCTCCAGTATGGCCCACTGGCAGCGCAAGTGGGCTTGTAGACTGAGCAGCCTGCCATGCCAAGCTCCGTTGCACGTGCAGCTGCCGGAGCAGATGGATGCTAGCTAGCGAGTGTTTTCGCTTCTAGGACTCCTGCCGGAGCCCTTCTTTTTAAAACCCGTCTTTCTTCGGTGTCTCCTCAGTCCTCACAGGTCACCACACCAAATTCCGCGAGATCTATATAACCCCGCGAGCCAGCAGTGCGTTCGGTTGGTCAAGCACGTGGCGGGATGGGAATCTATAGCCACAGGAACCGACATGCTAAGGGTTCAACCTCGGAATCAAGCAGACCCAAGAGAACACCAATCCTATAGTTCATTCTTTTCAGGTTTTGAGTGAAGCAGTGAAGCCAAGCCCTGAAGGCCCTTAAGTATAGATCTACTGTAGAAGAACCTGATGCAGCCTTTCTGTATTCACCCCATTTCACCCCTACTGCCTGATTCTACGTGTTGCAGCGATGATTCGATGTAGTCCCCAAAAAGAGTCCCAAAAAGAGCGATGCTTCGCCCAAAAAGCGTCAGTGAGGAAACTTGTAACTTTATCGGTGGCGTTTTTCCAGCAGATGGGGGGTGGAGGTTTAACATCCAGTTGATGCCCATCGATCTAACTTGTCCACGCTACTCAAGAGCCCCCTAAAAACCCAGGACGCAATTTTGCCTGAGAAGTAGCTTAAATCTGGTGGAGACAAACGATGCGCAGGTCGCTCCGAGCTTATGGGACTTGTTAGATGTTACTTCCGGCTTTCATCGCTTGTGATAGAAACCTTTGCATAGTCTCCGCAAGCAGCTAAGGCAGCTCAACAGTTTTAAGCACTCCATCACAGATCGACTCAGTTTCTTTTGAAACATGGACCACTGGAACAGACATGTTTTTACTTTTCGTTCGCCCATGTGTCTCCTCGTTGACTCGGCGGTCTCCGGCGGGTCACTCGGTCAGAGGAGGTCGCACAGCGCAGGAATCGCTGGAGGTCGCACAGCGCCGGCATGGCATGTGGATCTTATTAGTATTCATGCGCCTAATGATCTCTCTCGAATGGTGTTTTCTAAAACCACCATTATCATGATCGCTTAAGTTGAAATTGCCGAATAGGCAGATGGCCTCCCGTGCTCCAATCCCCCTCCAATGACTTTTTAAGGCTGGCCTCCCAATCCAGTGTGCATATTTGCAATGTTCCCCGCACATCTCTAACCCTTTGCTGCCGGTTCGCTGGACCTTGACTATGCTCAGACTCCACATGTGGAGCTTTGGGCATCGAATCTCCTGTCCTGCACCATATCCTTTCCTGCTTTGGCACGCTTGTCACGCGCGTCACTCAGAGACAGAAGGTGCCCTGCCACCCATGCCGCTAATGGCTGAGCGACGGATCTGCGTTGCACCGCAACATCTGCGTCGACTGGGGGCAGGGTGGCTTCTTCGGCAATGCCTGGCCGTTCGGTGAGTGGTCGGCTTGGGTGGCGAGTGGTCCGTTCGCCAGTCAACTCGTCCTGTTTCTCAGTGAAACTCGAGTGAACTCGCCAGATCAGCTGACCTCGCATGAGGATGCGATGATGCATGACGATGCGATGCTTCGATCCGCGAGAGGCATGGCGATGGCAGAGCCTTAGCAGAGGCATGAGAGATGCACCTGCTGCAAGGCCCAGATCGATCGACCGGTGGGCATGAAGGCGAGTTCCTCAAGCACGCGTTGCGAATGTGCCTCGTGGGTGCCTCCATGGTCTGGCACCGCAATGACTGTAGATTTCATAGGTGAGCTCCGGCTTCACTTCCACGTAGCAAACTGCTTGTTGCATTTTTCAACATTCTAGATGAGTCATTACGTGTAAACAGGCTCGAGAAAGATGATGCAATCTTCTCCAACTCATTCCTTCTTGCTTCGATTGAGATCTACCAGCTTCTTCCGCTTGGTGGCTGCTGAAAGGTCTCACTGCCACAGCCCTTCAGCTGTGGCACTTGCAGAAGTTTTGCACCCTTCGCTCTGCAACAGGTTCCTTTTGATTCCACCTTCGAGCACCATGCTCGCTGCACCATGCTCCCACCATGCACGTGCAGGACGGTCTTGGTAGCGCCGTGGTCGATTTGCAAGGACGGTCTGATGCTTTGATCAGTTTTGAGGGCACCAGACCGATGCCGATCACCTCAACAGGTGATGCGAAACGGACACATCGAAAAACGTGAAGGCAGAGCGAGTTCAGCTGCAGCTGCTCCAGTAGTCTTGGAGGAAGCCAGGAATCTCCCAACCATTTTTGGAGGTAGGCCGCAGCTGAGACCTGCTTCCAAAAAAGAGGTCTGAAGGTAGGCAGGACACGCCTTTGTGCTTTTCGCCTCCACTTCAAACAGATGTTCCACCATCGAGATCCGGTTCCTTTACTCACTGTCCTAGTATGCGGTTAGCTAAAATGCTGGGCTGGACACGTGGGGAACCTCAGAGGATGGCTGGCGAATCAGCTCGTGGGCCGCCCGCCTTGGCCCTGGCCACTGCCTCATGTTCAACGCAGCCAGATGGCTGCCGGGTCAAACAAAACCAGGAGACCGACCGGTTGACCTACCTGGAAGGTCAAGCTACATTCTGTTGGGGGTCTAGGTTTTGACCCTTGCCCAGATGAGTTGGCAGCTAGAAGTTGCAGCCAGCCGTTCATCCAACGACCTTCCGTGATTCTGCAGCGATTTTCAGGATGGCTGGAGGGAACTGGAGTTTCCGAAGGAGCCGGGAGCCTACGGTGGAACTCCTTCGAGAACTGCCATGAGTACCATTCTTCGGGCTCCTCACATGTGTTCCAAAAAATCTCTTTTTTGAGTCCAGGCTTCCACAAAGTCATGGCCCTTGGAAAAGGATCAAGAACTAGGGACCCCCGTGGCCGGACGTGATTTAGCATGAGTTTCATGTCCATTGGGTCTTCTTGGTGCCTTGTTCTCACGTTGATGAGAATGATGTGCATGTTCTTTGACCAGTCTTGCCCCACGGAATGGGTTATGTTAGATGGTTCTTTCTGGGTTCCTTTGCACCTGGGATCTACCCATGCCAAACGCGCCTCAGTCGCCTCGGTCGGTCGCCTCAGTCGCCTCGGTCGGACCAGTCTCACTGTTCAAACCTGCAAAGTTTTGTTTGCAGAGCTGCAGGTTCGAGGGCTCCCGGCCAATTTCTGTGTTTGTGAGGATGCATCCACGGGCCTCCCAAGGATTCGCAGTGATCTCTTTGGAAGCTTTGATGCCGTCAACACATTTGTTGTGTCCGAAAAGTGCATTCTTTCAGCTTGACATTATATAACTCAATTCAAGTCTTTACACAGATGTTTGAGAAACACATTTGATAAAGGTCAATTGCCAGCAACAGTTCAGACGAGCATCGCATGGAAAGGTTTTGTCCTTTTCCTATATCAGCACATGTGAGCATTCGTCTGCAGCGGCCAAAGGCAGTGCCCTTTGCGCTGTCGAATCAGCGCTCTCTTTGACGGCCCAGGTAAGCAGACCTGAACAGATTGCGCACGGTGACGGTGTGTCATCATGTTGAGCAAGTTTTGGATGTCTTTCCACTGCTGGTGCGTTCTGATGGGTGTTTTTCACGGACTTTGCTGACCCAGCAGTTCCGTTGTTTGGGGACGGCTTGACTTGGCATAAGGAGCTGATCAGAGTCCACAGAACTACGTGAGCGAACTTGTGCATCTGCCACACCTCTGCTGCACCTTTGTTGGAGCAACTGTTCTCGCTTGTCTTGAATGAAGCCAGGAAGAAGCCATCTTGACATGAGACAATGCCTGCGAACTGCGGCTTCAACCTTGGAAGCTTTTTAGGCTTGGAGCCGGATGAGCCTCTTCTACCCA